GGGCAATTTACTAATCTTTTTCCTGATGCTCAAGGTTTACAGTGTTCAATTTTTCCCTAAGATCAGAAAGGACAAATTACTGAGAACCTTTCTTTTTCTCACCCATCTCACTTCAGAATGCAAAATAAGTTAGTTTCACTCTGAGCCAATGCCACACAGGAATCATTTTGAAAACCTGTGTCACTCTTGGTGAATGATGCAGTAATAGGATATAACTTGGAAAACCTGTAATCTGTTCTTCAATGGTCAATTAATCCATTTGTAAAGCCCAGCATAGCTTATGGGCCATCGGTAGCAACAGTTAATAATTTCCAAAGTGGCAAGTTTGTTTCCGTAACATAACTTTTGAAATATATCCTTCCTCTTGTTCTGAGCAGTAGGATTCACAATAACTCTTCCTTTGCAGAGAAACCACTCAAACTGCTGGAAGTACCAGCCAGTTGTAAATGTGTATTATGTCTGCAAAGTCATCCCATTCAGAAAGCAACGCTTCCTTTGCCAGTGGGTAGAATGTGCTCAATGCACAGCGTAAAATAAAGGCCTGGTGGCCATGCATGTGTCATTTTCAGAGCAAGCAAGTGGGAAGGATAAAAGGATGTGCAGGCAGACCTAGCTCCTCTCAGTGTCAGAATGACTCCATCCAGCAAGTGTGTGTGAGAGAGTGAGAGGAAGCAGATGGGACCACTGCTTGATTTAATTGTGGCACTGGCTTTTTAGTAATAGTATCACATTAAAAAAAAATAAAGGATAAGTAATTGTATGTGACCATTTCCCTGTGACTTGGAAAGACAAACTTCAAGGAGAAACAGTTGCCTTCTTTGACCCAGGCATGGTGAATATTGAAGTGAAGAAAGGAACTTGGAAACAGAAAAAGAAGAATTGGTGCATGACAGGCTAAGTTACATCCCGATTGCGGTTATGATACTTTGCAAAATGTACTTACTTGAAACATTTATCTTTCTCATCCAAAGCCACAGAGCAGTTATCGTAAGCATGGAGGTCATGAGCAATGTGATGATTTACAGCACCTTGGAAATGATGTGTTACATTTTCAAGGATGTCTCTTAACTGTGGTCCATCCTTCTATTTCCAGAAGCGTGGGAACTGTTGTCTGCTCTTAAGCATAATTTTAGGCTTTAGCCACCATTTTCCTGTTAGGGTAGTCTTTTGCATATGATGGCTAATCTATCAAAGTAACGACACAGAGTGATAGACATGGCCAGTGGTATCACAGCAACCTGGAAGAATAAAATAGAAGAATGCTCGATGAGGCAAATTGGGAAGATTCATGAGGAAGGAGGCTATCAGTAGCTACTAGCCGTGCCAACTCTGGGCTCCCGCCTTCACCAGAAGTGGCATGCCTGCATACACCAATTGCTGAGGAGCTTGGGCAGGAGGTCTTGAACCCTCTCCCTTGAGGGAAACTGTGGGCAGCTGGTTTGCCACCATGTGCACAGAGTGCTGCGTTGGACGGACCACTAGTCTGTTCCAGCATGGCTGTTCTTCTGAGGGATCAGACAGCAGTACTGTTCTCACTTCTGTGTGCAATGATCAACATGGATGTTAGTTTCCAATCTTTTATGAAATAAACAATATTAACCTATGTTTGAAAAGGATGCTGAAGGATATCAGAATGTAAAGTTTTAAGATTCACCACCCTTTACATATTGTTGACCAGAAAATCTTTCAAAATCATTATGCCCCTTAGGAATAATGCACCATCTGTTTCTCTTTAGGAACATAAGCTCTTATGAGGAATCATACAAAAGAAATTTAATGATAGTAATGTCTGGCAGCTACTCTGGTCATAGCCGTATGCTTTGATTTGTTTCTACTGGAAAATGAGTACACCTGACACTTGCTACTAAATAGATTTCTGTGCATACAGATGAGCTAATCTTGTAAATCAAAGTATAACATAGTACCAGAAGTTTGTTTACCATTATGTTTTTGCAGCTTCTTTTTGACTGTTTTGCCCAGTCTCTGCATTGTTGCACATCTTTGTTACAATTCTGCTGTTCTGTTCAGTCTGCAGTGCATTGAAATGTAATGATCCCCAAGCAGAACTCCCATATATTGCTCATCCTCAGCAGTTTTTTCCTGCTACCATGGACCCCACTACTGGGGAAATATTATTTATTTAATCATGCTTCATCAAGCTATTGGAACTCAATAGCAGTAGAAAGCTTATCAATATCCATAGAAAGCAGTGTACCAGCTACATCATCTTCAGCAGACTCCCTGAAGGCTTAATCCACAACTACAGTTCCAATATAAACTCAATCAAAAATAAAGGCAGAATTAATTCACCTTGTGCTTACACAAAATAGCATTCCTGTGTGAATTCTTTAACTTCCCTATACTTTCCAACTGCAGCTGATAGCTAGAAACAATGCTATGGTTGCACCATTAATGCTCATGGAGGCACAGGGCTTGATTATCAAGGTGCTTCAGTGCTGTGAAGTGTACTTGGGCAGTCACTGCGGTAGCTCTTCTCTACAGTGTGTATCCCCAAAATAATCCCTCCCACTTGAGATAACAGTGTCAGTTGAACTGTTCCCTTGCTGTTTTGTGGGATGCCCAAGACAAGGAGACCATTAACAAATGCCTTAAGGCACAATCCACAGTGTGTGTTGGCCAGAAAAGGGACTACAACTCCCAGCATGCCCTAGGAACATGCTCTTACATATTTAAGGGCAAAGTATGCATGCCCTTAATTGTGTGCATGGAACTTCCTGATTTGGGTCAGGACTGTGGGAAAGGGAGCTTTAATCCTTTTCTCACCGGAGCTCTTCCTATGCAAAATCACGACCCTCTTGCTAAGCTGATATGTACCTTTGTTGGAACAAAACAGTGGCCACTTGAATGTGCCTTTCCTACTTTGGAGATATCCATGAATGGGTTAAAAAAAAGAGTAGAGCAATCACTCATGAAAGTACTGCTCTTACTCTAATTTGCACAGAACTACATCCTGCTGCATCAATGGAATTTGGTTCTCTGGTTCTACCTAAACCATTATCAGCATAAGTAGTCCACTTCTGTATCATTCCCACATGTTTTTCTTTATCTTCCCATTGGAAGCACAACTGTGAAACTCTGAAAACTGAACAAAACTGTTATTGAAGTGAAACATGTCCACTGACAAGGATTTATTTCACAAGGAAGGGGAAGCAGGAGAGGAAGTAAGAAGGACAATAAAGATAAATATACAATGTAAGGGAAATCTGTTTTAAAAAGTGGGGGTTGAGTCCAATAAATTAGAAATTTGCCAGTGAGCACTTAGGGCCTGTGTCAGGTCTGTCTGGTGCTACGCAGTCATTAGCAGCTTTCTTGGCCTTTGTCCCTTCGTGGCTGTGGAGTTCCTACTAGTCAGATGATGTATGAAGACAGAAATCCATGCCACCCATGCCTTCTCTGAATGGTCCTTTTTATTCACTCTCCCTGCTGTTTGCCCAGTGCCTTTTCTCTTTCTATGAAATCATCCGACCTGCATCAGAATCTCTTACTGCAGCTCTAGGGTCAAAAACTATTTTGTGTCATTTTGTAGTGGGCTACACTATACAGAATTATTGGTAACTTTAAAGAAGGCAGACTCTGCTCACTTTGTGTAGGTTCTAAACTTAAGCTGCTTATCAAAGAACTGAATGGGAATATGAAAATAAAATGTAAGAATAGTTCTTTAAACCCGCACAGTCCTTTAAATCAAGGACAGCTCTGTTAAGTAGAACCTATGGACAGCTTTGCTTATGTACATGTTCTTCTCTAAGTGTAGACACTGGGTGCGCAAGGAGACCGAGATACACAATAAACTAGAAAGTTGGATACCTCACTGCCTTCCAACATAGCAGAGAACGGTTTCATATGGGTTTGTAAAGTTGTAGGGTTAAAAGTACTTATGTGCCTACTCAGTTTGCTGTCCAAGTGCTATCTGTTGAAAGACAACTTCAAGGTCCATTCCGCTCTCCTTTTTGAGAGTTGTTTATCTGCAAACAGGATCAGGCAGTCCTTCACGCAGAGAATATCTTCAGATAGAAGGTGTCCTGAGAAACGCAGGATTGTCAACTGTAAAGAAGGCCATTCTTGCTTGTCTCCCTCCGTGATTTCATGTACCGGAAAATAGTGGTCCATTTTCTCCATTTTGCTACCAGCCCCTATTTCTGGACTAAATTTTTCAATTGTCCTATAGAATCACATGGTTGGATTCTCTAATTATCACTGTTAAGCTTTAATGAAGACTGAATCTAAGCCATAAGGTTCTTCCTGAATAGGAAGCAGAAAAGGCTGAACAAGAAAATGACAGTAAAGCAGCTGAGCACTCTGAGGATGGAATTTTTAGGTCCTACACAATATAGTGAAGGCTTCATATGTAACCCAATTTTTTCCATTACTACAGTAATTATCATGCGTTCAGCAGTTCCAGAACACATTTTCATTAAGTTCATCCAGAGCTGTACATCTGACCCCTGAATATGACGGAGTCTAGGACATGTGTACAAATCAGATACAAATGCATGTGTGTATGCACAGAGTGAACTCACATTTGTTGCAATGTTTAAACAATCATTATATGCTATATGTAACCAGTCTGGCCCCATAAATCAGCCAGGAAAGGAACAATTGTAGGGAACTTGCTTTCCCCTGCTCCTGAATTTGCCTTTATCCTTTTCCTTCCTCCCCATCCCTTCTCATTTTGTGTCATGTTTTTTACGTTGTGAGCCTGAAGGTGGGGACCAATCTGTTCTTGAGCTTTGCCAGGGTAGAATCCTATGCATATTTAGACGGCATGGCTGTGGAATGTAGAAAGAATTGGGCATTTCCCTCCTAAACATCCATATGATTGCACTCTTAGCCACTCTGGCAGCCTTTGCTGTTATGGCTCAAATGCTTTGAACAAAACCTTTCGGTTGCCCAGTTGTCCTCCATCGCAATTCCTTTTGATTACACCATTTTTTCCTCTTGCATGCCCCCATATTAACAGTGATTCTTGCCTTCCATTTCAGCTCCCTAATTTCATCAACACAACCCTTCCTCCACACGAGCAGGTTACAGCGCAAGAGATCGACAGCTATTTCCGACAGGAACTCATCTACAAGAGGAATGAGAGGATGGGGAAAAGAGTGATGACTCTGTTAAGAGAGAACACTGACAAGAGTTTCTTCTTTGCCTTTGGAGCAGGTAGGGTCTGAACGCACTGTTTTGTTGAGCTCCATATCCATCACATACACCCTCACACACAAAAAAACTCCAGGTTATTTTCTGAGCTAATCTGGCTGTCACATTCCTCTTTCCTCCCCACTCCCATGTCATCCCTTCCTCCCCATTCCTCTGGCTATTCCCAGACATTCTTCCCACTAGGTATCCAAATCCCCAAATTCCCTTCATTTCTTTACAGATGATTGACTGGGTCAGCAATGAGAGTAGTGACAATGTTTTGGGCAGAAGTAAGGAAGGAGGTCTATCCCTTCCTATTCATTCTAGCAAATGATGCAGCCAGAAAGAGGATCCGGTGTCTCTTGGCAATGTCCTTCTGCAGAGAGACTAATTTGGTAATTTGGTATTCGCTGGGTTGGATTTTTATTTGAATCAGAGGAGAATTTAGAGCTCTCTCAATGACTTTTCTTTTGAAGTGAGCACCAGAAGCCCCAAATCTTGCTTCTGTTGTCAAAACTGGTAAGAGTCTGTTGAAGTTCCCCAGTCATGCACTACTGAGTTTTTAAGTTGGACTGAATCAGAATCTACTTGTGTAACTCAGTGTGGTCATGAGAACATAGGTCTGGACTTGCATCTATGAGATCTTAGCCCAGTTTTGTATGCAGTGGTAACCTTTTATGCAATGGTAGTCCCTTGGGTTCTTCTGACTCACTCTGTAAAGATGGAGTGCCACTGAGCTACTGTGAGGATTGTTGCACTTTGAATTGCAGCAATTTATGGAAGGTAGGAATAAGTTGCTCCTGATATGTATTTCTCCAAATTCAAGACAACTCAGTCCATCGCTTTAATCATCTCAATAATGCCTTCATTACTCGCAGAGGCAACCTGTGGAAGGCAAGTGAAGACAAGTCTGTCCTACCATTTTCCAAGCAGGATGCAATTTTATCTGAAGTACAATATTGTGTGTGTTAGGACTTACTGTGCAGTGAATAGTATGCTTTCAGAACAAGCTATCCCAGATTTTATTCAAACCTGCACCCAGAATTCTCCATCTCCACTAATGTTGATGTCACACACCAACTCTGCGCAGTAACTTCGAGGCACACTGCCACTGATGAAGCCTTCTGTGCTTGATGTTCAGGGTTTGTATAATGCTGCAGGTTACCATGTTTTGCTGGTGCAGTAGACTGTATGTCCCAGCACCTCTGTTGATATGATGACCTAGAGAACTTAATCCCAAAACCATAAACCCTAGATTTAAGTGGGCTTCTGTAGAAATTAAAAATCATTGCTAGTTACTCCACCACATGTAGCAGCCAAGAAGCTATTTGACAAATGTTATCTCCCCTTTCCTGTAGGCAGTATATATACATCCCCAACTCCCCTAAGCTATACATGCACATTTTTGGCCTTCCCACAGCAAGGAAAGCATTAGCCACAAGTTGTAATGGTGTTTGCTGCACGAGAGAAGATTGTTGGCTTGTGCACTAATTTGCAGCAGACTTACGGAGCACAATCTCGTAAAAGGCATCCTATTAACTTAAAGTGGATTCAAGTTTAAGTCTAGGAACACGTCCTTTTACTAACTTTGTTGCTGAAGAGGGATTTGGAATGCCATATTAGAACAAGATCCAGAATTTCACAGTTGGCAACTATGTTTCTATTGAAGTGAAGCAAAACGAGCAATCTTGTGTTTAGAATATTGACATAAAATTGGATCCAAATTCAGCTGTTTAGACCTTTCATTTAAAGAGACCTTAAAATGAACTCTAACCATTATTCATTTCTTGGAGGAGGGGGAGCAAGCCGAAAAAGTGGGAGGATATTTTGAAACAACATATGTATTGCATGTGGGAATACACACAAGCCCCCTGTATGTATTCTGGCCTCTGTCCAGGGTTGGAGTTTCCAATTTATTATTTGCCTCCCATAGAGCCAACATGTTTCTACAATAGGTACAAGCCCACTTCATGCATATCCACTTAGAGTGTCAGGTTTCTGCGATTGGCTCTACCCTGGGAGAATGAGATGATCGCAAACACTTGGAGTGATCTTCCCTCCTCCTTCCCAAACTAAAAACAGATGCTGTTTATTGAGCAGCATCATTTCAATAAAGTGTGGAAAAGAAAGTTGTGCAAAAAGTTTGCTCTTCTTTGGTCACAGCTAATGTAAGCCATGCTGCAAAGAAAACAAATGGTAATTCTATCATCTCTATATTGCCAGGATATGTCATAAAAGACAAAAGGGACCCAGTGGCATGGAACCTTTGATTTATTGGTTAAATAGGCCATCTCATTCTATACAATTGCCAGCATTTCATTCTTCAGTCAATGACACAGAGGGAATATTGTCACATTAATCATGGGATTATTAAAAATAGTTCATAATTAGCAGCTGTGAAGATGGCAGGACAATAAGTAAGACATAAATCTTAATGTGGGTTTGTAACATTTACCTTATTAGACTAGAACTCTTTGTGAGTTTTTAGGTTCTGGCATGGACCACTTTAATGAAAGGTATCAGTTAAATGTGTTGTGTTGATGGACATTGAAGAAGAATTGTGCAGAGCACACAGACCTCTATGATTTTCAAACAAAAATAAAGGGAATCACATGCCATGGAAGTCCAAAATCTTATTTTTTAAAAAGGCATTCTCTTGAGGTTGTATCCACAACTGTATCTCCTAAATACAATGATGGGCAATATCAGATGGTGAATACAATCTGGAATGAGAAATCTGTGGGAAAGCTTGCATTCATGCACTTTCATGAATCCCTGATTTTAAATGGAAGAGAAGTACTATTAGCGAAATGTTTATTACTGCAGTAAGTTGTTACAGTGGCTGAGTTTGCACATCATGATGAGCAAACCTGTGTGGTTTCCATGATGTGTGTACTTTTGCCTAGATGTGCCTGGCAGATGATCAAGTGCTTTCTATGGTAGCGTGTTTCTGCCATCCTCATTCGGTTTTCCCTCTGTTGGCCCATATCCTGCATTTGAAATTCAGTCCCATGCCAGATGGCCGCGGCAACATCTGCAGGAGATTGTGTGGTAGCCGCATGCTAGGAAACCACAACCCTGGATTTGGATGTCTGAGGAAACCATTGCGAGACATGGACGGAATAGAACAGTCCGTTGTTTCTTAGCACAGTTTCTAAAAACCAAATGTACTGTGCTGAAATACCAGGACAGGGTACAGATGACACAACAAACCATCCTGATTAAGAAACTACCATGGCTTGTCTTATCATGTGAACTCACCCAGTGAGTGACCTGAACCATTCATGGATGCAGCTACAGTTACCTGGAAATAAACCCTACTTGGCAGCTGAAAAATATGATGGAATCATGGGAATTGTGGTAAAGAGGTAGGATGTCCATGCGTTCCTTTTACAAAAAGAGGCCGTCAAAGAAGAGTCTTCTATTTGAAGGCCAGGCCAGGTGTAGAGAACCCCGAGGGACCACAGTGTTCTTAGCATGGCCCATCAGCAGTTAGCAACACTACCTGCACACCAGGTGAGCAGCCCCACAAGTTTCCCAGTTACCATCTTTCAGAGTTTGTCTTATACTTACATTGAAACTGTAATGATTTTTCCAAATGTGTACGTCTATACATTCTCTCTCCTAACTCTCTCCTTGTTTGCCCTCTTTTTGCTGATGCATCCCACTGCAGTGGCATCTGTGCTTGCTTTTTACACAGAATGTTTTCCGTGTCAGTTTGTGACAATTTTCTGTGATTCGTTCTTTTCATCCCTGGCCAGCAGCTAGTTCAGCCAGAGGATTTATTGAGCAGATGGTGGGAATGGGGACGGAGGATACAATTAGGGAAGGGGGAGAAATCTCTCCAGTCACATTTTTAATGTGGACTTGCCTAATTTTGGACTTTCAAGCCACCGTGAGAATCAAAAAGCCTGTGAATCTTTGAAATTCAAAGGAAATACTTTTATTAAATACAAAAATACTTGAAATACTTTTCTGTATTTTTGCAGTAGAATTATTTGAGCAAAACTGCATAGAAAATATGTATATTGCAGAAAAATACTATTCAAATAGAAATCCTGCTTGAAAAATGTGCACAGTTGGCACAATTATTATTATTCTTATCATTACATTACATCAATACCCCACCTTGCTTCTTCTTGCAAGGAACCGAACGCAGCCACTCCCTAGTCTCCATTTTATCCCCACAACAACAAACTGCTAAGAAGGTTAGGCTGAGAATCCATGACTGGCCTAAAAGGAGCTTCATGGCTGCATGAAGACTAGAATCCCGATCTCCCAAGTACCAGTCCAACACATTCATCACTATGTCACACTGCCTCTCAATAAGCTATTGTAAGCTTATACATTTAAAATGGCAGCCAGTGTGGCCTGCAAAGACCCATGGTGGCTTAGTGTTACGTGTGAATCACCCTAAAGATTGCTCTGGAAAGATTTGAATATATATCTCAAATATCTCTCAAGATTTGACTAAATATATTATGTAAGTCTTTATATGTAGTGTAATGTTGACACTACAAAACTGAAACTGCATGTTTATAAAGTCAAATAAGCACGTGTAGTACAAACTGTTAAAGCTTTGTTTCTCTGTTTAAATGTTAAAATACTAAAAGGTTGAATGAATGTATGATGAGAAATAAGCACAAAATGCTTATAAATTGTAAGTGTAAGCATTAAAAGCAGTGTGAGTCAAACTGAAATTAAGACTGAGAGAATTCTCAAAGTTCAAGTCAAAGTGAACCTATGACTGGACAAAATGAGAAACCAAGAGAAACCTCCATTCCTACATCCAGTCCCCCAGCCCTTCCCAAACAGCCTGCTGCTGTTAAATGCAGCTAATATAAATGCAACTCCTATCCACCCATCTTTTTCCTTTGACTTAATAAATGGGGAGAACCAGATGATACTGTGTGGAAGGTAGGAATGGTATGTCTATTGGCAACGCAAAACAGACTTCGCTGCGGGACTGTTGGTATGTTTATTCCTTTCGAAGAAAGAAAAGGACAGGGTGACTATTTGCAGCA